CTCTTGAGTTAAAGGAAACTACAGGTGGGGAGTTTAGGGTGCCTCTAAGGGATCCTTTAGGGTTTAGGGGTTAAGGGGTTTAGGGGTTTAAGGTTTAGGGTTTGGGGTTTAGGGTTAAAGGAAACTACAGGTGGGGAGTTTAGGGTATATAGGGCTTCTATAAGGCTTCCATAAGGTATACAGACTTTCTATAAGGCTCCTATAACGGTAACTACCCACCTGAAGATGTCCTAGATTGAGGGTCACTGTGGGGAGGTGCTAGAATAGGAGTTTAAGGGGCTTGGGGTTTTATTTATATTTCGGCGTTGCTACATGAGATTAGGGTGTTTGGGACCTCTTTTTGGAGTTTACGGCACCAGGACAATCAGAACTCTAGCGGACTGGCAGTAGACTGAGCCAGACACCCTATAAGCCCAAAACCTACCAAAACCAAATCCCATAACACCCTGGACCACTAAACCCCCAAGCCCTAAATCCTAAACCCATAAACCCTACTTGTAGTACTCAACCCCTGAATCCCTCTACACCCTAAAGCCCTGAACCCGTTTTGACAGCCCAGGTCACCCCATCGTCCTCCAAGCCATCACCGGAGCTCTTCCTGGGTCTTGCTGACGGACCCCATCTTCGGAGCTTGTGGATAGGGGGTGCAACCCGGAGCCGAAACTCCGAGACCCACATCCATAATGTAGGGGCCTTAACCATTAGAATAGGGTTTTGGGGGGGCTCCTTATTACAGTTATAGTATAATATGCCCCCAAACCTTATTCTAATTATTAAGGTCCTTACATTATGGTGACCGCCCCAGTAACTTATCAAGTATATTCCTCGTTTAGAAGAAGTATAATATGTCTCTTTCTCTCTCTCCAAAAAAGCTTACATAGGTCCTAAACCCTAAACCCCAAACCCTAAATCGTGAGGCATGCCCGCCCGACCATGAGGATGTCGACTGCAACCCATGCGTGTTTTATGGCACGCGCCGTGGCTGTCACAGGGATTCCTGTGCCTTTGGCCGCGAAGCCCTAAACCCTACTATAGAAGCCCAAATAATTACAAATATTATTTTGGGGGTTCGTTATTATAATTATAGTATACTATATTTAATGGGCCCCAAAGCCCCATTCCAATTATTAAGGCCCCTATATATTAAACGGGTTTTGCCTGTGTCTTTCCCCGCAAAAGGGTTCACGGTTTCGGCCTTACGGTGATTCAACGGCAGGCGGAGTCCAAGAAAGCCTGTAGCTTTGGGTTTAGGGGTTTAAGGCATAGGGTTTAGGGTTTAGGGCTTTAGGGATTTAGGGATTTAGGGTTTTAGGGGTTTAGGGGTTTGGGTTCGGGGGTTTAGTAGTAGGGGTTTAGGATTTTAGGGTAGTTCAGCCCTGAACTTCCGATGCCGTCCGTTACAGTACTCTTACCCCGCTGCCTCGGCCTCAAAAAAGCCGTCGGTACACCTGTAAGACGCGAAGCCGCGACATGATCTTCAACCAGGTCTTCAACCCCGAATCCTTCGGCCCCAAACCCTGAACCCTAAGCCCTAAACCCCTAAAGCTTAAGTCCTAAACCCTAAGCCCTAAACCCAAAGCCTTAAGCCTTAAGCCCTTCAGAAACCCTGAACCATGAAGCCTTTAAGGGCACCAAAGACTCTCGAAGCTCACCAATGTCTTCGACCTTCACTCGACTTTTGTCCTGTGCCTGACAGTTTAGAACTGCTCGATAGCTAGATCAAGTTTTGGAGGCTCAGCATGTGGGATTCGTCTTCATACCCTAACCTACCAAAACCTACTTTTTTTGTAGGGTCCCTATACATTCCATATTAGGGTTTATAATAAGAACCTACAAAAACGTGGGGTTTGGTAGTTTAAGGTAATGGTTTAGTGGGGTTCTGAGGTCATGTGTTTCTGTCGACTCCCCGAATCCGCAGTTCATCATTCTCTGCAGATTTGGTCATGAAAGATGGTAGTCTGCAATCTCGTTACTGGGTTGTTTTGTCTTCGAACTTGAAACATAAATGCACTCTCACGCTTATTCCTGCAAGAGCATGTGCTGGCGGTTTTTGAACTTTGCGTTTGATCCGACGGAACCAAAATCCGACGGGACGCCTGATAGCCCTTCAAACCCGGAGCCCCCGAACAGTTACATGTACACACCCCTAATCCCTAAACCCTAAAGCCCTAAACCCCTTAATCCCAAGACCCTTCGCCCTGAATCCGAAGCCCCTATAGGCCCTAAACCCTGAACCCTAAACCCTAAAACCTAAACCCTAAACCCTAAACCTAAAACCTAAAACCTAAACCCTAAACCCTAAACCCCGACTCAGGTCCCTACCGGCATGCGGAAATCGACGTACCTGCACGGCACCACCAGCGCCCCCGCAGGAACGCTCGCATGCGATTGAAGAGGAGCCGGCTCCGGGCCCGGGGTGCCATTTTGGGTTTATGGTGACAGCCCCGAAAGTTGGAAGATGCGCATCCACATTCCCCGCACCCCAAAATGCATGGACCACAATCTTCCAACTTTAGGGTTTAGGGTTTAGGGTTTAGGGTTTAGGGTTGCAAATCTTCCAACTTTGGCATCTTCCAACTTGGCAAATACTCCAACTTTAGCATCTTCCAACTTTGCAAACCAGACCAATTTGGAAAGTGAGACACATGCAAGCAACAAAAACCCAACACCAAAATGAGTTGGTCTTAAACTCTTTCCTTCTTGACGCAAAACAAAGTGAAAATTGGTGTTGACCAGCTCCGCAACCAAAAATTTTGCGGAGGAGTTTGGAACACCAAAAAGGAAACTGATGGTGAATGCACGAAGATGAGACGGAACAGCAAAACAACATGAAAGGAATGGTCGACACACCAAAAATTTCACGGAGGAGTTGGAAGTGTCTGGGTTGTTGGCCATCCCTTCTTCACCGGTGTTCCCCTGAGTGCGGGGGCAGGTTTTTGCCATGACAAAAAGCCGAAGAGAATCAAAGTTGGAAGATCCTGGAGAGCGTTTTAGATCTTGCCGCGAGTGCGGGGAATCCTTCTGCAGCAAAAGCGCAAAGTTGGAAGAGCCAGTTCCGGACCAACCGTTCCATTTCCCAGCTTCCAACTTTTAGGCGTTCACTGTAGGGTTTAGGGTTGAGGGTTTTGGGTTGAAGGTTTAGGGTTTTGGGCATTGGGTTTAGGGCCTAGGGTTTAGGGTTTTTAGGTTGAGGGTTAAGGGTTTTGGGCATTGGGTTTAGGGTTTTGGGCATTGGGTTTAGGGTTTAGGTTTTTTGGGTTTAGCGTTTTGGGTGTTTTGGGTTTAGGGTTTTGGGTTTTGGGCTTAGGGTTTAGAGTATACAGTAAGCGTGTATGTATGTATGTATATATATATACATATATATATATATATCTATTTATTTATTTATTTACACATATACATACACATATATATATATATATATGTATCACAGTTTACAGGTTATATACATATATATGTTAGTTTCTCCAGTTGTACTCAAACCTCGAGCCTCAGAAGCCTTGAGTCAGTAATAAAAGAATCCGAAGACCTCGAAGACCTGTTATGAGCCTGAAACCGGTAGTGTGCAAAATGTACGGGGTGTACTTAAAGGATCATGGGACATAGTAAGTAGGGTTATAACTAAGGTAACTATACCTATAACCCCAATTAGGGGACTTATAACCTTACTTACTAAGTCCCATGATACTCCAAGTAGGGTTCTGAAAACCGATGCTCTGGGGTTTTGGAGCCGATTGTGCATTTCATACACGGCTTAGGGTTTTTTGGCTCTAAACTCTAAAGCCGATCGGGTTTGGGGTTAAGGGTTTAGAGCCTAGGGCTTAGACCCAGTCAGCCGTCAGGACCATTGACAGCCTTCTCGAAGACTACGATAGATCACCGGAGACTTGGCTGGAATTTGCTCGCTGTTGGGAAGGTGAGCTGCTACAATCGTCAACAGCTTTCACTAGTTTTACCTCTTAAAGGAGTTTTTGGAAGGCTACAAGGTTCCAGGGACTGAGGATTTGTATGGGCTGCTAGGTCTTCAGGGCTTTGATTTGGGTCTTGAAGAGTTTTGGTTCTGATTTTTCGTGAGTTCTGTAGCTGGTCCAAGAAGGAAAATCAGAGCAGTGGGCCCTCTCTGTTCATTCTTCTTGGGGTTTAGGGCTGTGGGGGTTCAGGATTTAGGGTTCATGGTACTCCGGTCCTGGGTGGGTTTAGGGTTTAGGGTTTAGGGGGGTCCCAAGCCCTAAACCCTAAACCCTAAACGAAGCCCGCATCCGTGACGAAGACTGCCACTTCCGAATTCCAAGCCAGACCCCAAGCTTTACACCCGAGATCCCAAATTCCCTACCCGAAACTCCAAATCCTAGACCCTAAGCCCTAAAATCCTAAACCCTAAAGCCCAAAACTTAAAGACCTAAAGACCCTAAAACCCTAAACCCTAAATCCCAAAACTTAAAGACCCTAAAACCCTAAAGCCCTAAACCCCAAATCCCAAAACTTAAAGACCTTAAAACCCTAAAACCCTAAACCCTAAATCCCAAAACTTAAAGACCCTCAAACCTTAAAGCCCTAAACCCTAAAGCCCAAGACTTAAAAACCCTAAGACCCTGAATCCTATACACTCTCTTCAAGCCGGACTCCGCCGTCCGAATCCCTGAATCCAGGATCGGGTGCACGATGAGCTACAGGCCTGGACAGCCCGCAGCCACTACGCTCGCAACGTTCTTGCAGGCACTGGTTTAGGGTTTAGGGTGTAGGGTTACGGGCTTATGGGGTTAGGGTTTGGGGGCTATGGGGTTATGGGGTTATGAGGCTCGGGTGAGTTGGACCGCAAAGCACGAAACCCCAAAGCCACGATCTTAAGCACCCTGAGTCCTAGACCAACAATCCTCATTAGTTCAGTTTGACATTCATTATCTTCGGGTTTCCAGGTTTGCACATCTGGATGTCGCGCGGTCGAATTGAGGGTTTCAGGGCTATGGGATTCTCAGGAAAGTAGGGTTTAGGGCTCCGGCAAGTGCGGCTACTTTAACAATAGAGTTTAGGGTTTGGATTGTAGGGCTTAGGTATAGATTTAAAGGTTTAGCTGTTACAACTGAGGGTTAGATGTTCGGGTTTAGGTTTAGATTAATAAATCTAGATGTTACAATTTCGGGTTTCTGGCTGCGGCTTGCTTCGAGCGGCCTCTCAATGCACATCCGATGTGTTTAGGGTTTAGGGTTTAGGGGTTTAGGGTTTCGGGGGTAGCAGGTATTTTCTACAGGCTTGGGGCTTGTAGGTTTTGGATGAGTAAGGTGTCATCTTAAACCCGAAGCCTGAAGCGAGAAAGGCAAGGCTTTGTACTTCTATGCTTGACTCCAGGGGCCTTACTAATGCTTTAATCTTGAGCTTTGGGTACATTCTGCTATAACTATCAGAAAAAGGAAGGAGCTCCAATGAACAGTGCTCCTAATGTTTCGCTGTAATTTCATTTCAGCGACAATCCGCAACAATCCATAAACCCTAAACCCTAAACCCACAAAACATCACAACACCTGGTGTGTGGAAAAAGCAGGGGCCCCACAGCGCTCCTTTCTGCAATTATTCCGGTCCTTGCAGTTCACATGGACATCC